TTACAGGACGTTGCAGAACCAACCCCAACAGCCCCTGGCTGTTGTGTGGTTTTTCTAGGCAAATTTACGTCCAGTAGTTTGCCATTGCTCCCTGGACGGTCGGCTTTCTTTATACCAGTATCGAAACCAACGCAAGGCCTATGGCCCGCAGCTGGGATCGAACCCGGCATCCCGGCATTACGAAGCGTTCGCATCGACTTAGCCACAGAGCCGACATTGTCCCTAGTACATAGACTAAAAAAATGGGTAGTCTGGTAGTCTGGTAGTCATAGTTTCAGCTTCATAGCAAACGGGTCACCCCTAAAAATGGGTACTGGTACATGCGCCTAAAGGTATTGTGACTAGTCCAAAACTGCCCACATTAGTCAACGATTGGTCAGGAAAATGGCCAGTATGTCACTGTGACCTGAAAATGAAGCACATTTACTTTCCGCCTGTCAGCAAAATTGAAGACACACTAAAAGCACACGCGATCCATACAGGAAATTGAACTGGAGGAAATTGCGTATGTGCGTTTACTTTTGAGATGAAAGTTGTTTTCAGAAGTTAAAAACTAATTGATTCTTTGATTAGCAAGTTCAGTAGATGAATCGGTGTCTGAAACAATGGTTCCTACAGCGTTCTGGGTGGGAGGACAAAGAAATAACGGGAGAATCTAAAGATTATGTGTGCACATGGGTAACACCCGATGAAAGATGTGTCACAGACAGAGAACATCATCATGTAGCAGGTGCTTTGCAGAACGTCGCTCTCGTCACAGCCTGCCTGAAAGAAACTCGGTCTCTCGCCAGCTCCCCCCCCCCTCCCCCCATTCACTTTCACATTCAAGGAGTCACTTATATCCTGTGCCCATCTTCATGTTGGTCGGCCCCTGCCCCTCCTTCCTGGCATTTCAACCCACATAAATTTTCCTGGCATGTAACAGCGGCTGTTAAGATTTTGACTTCCTTACTCACCGAGTACCGATTCTTCTACGTATAGTCCATGTCCTGTTGCGTTAGTAGTCATGTCTTTCCACAGCTTTCTGTCTCCTGTAGTTTCAATGAATTCTAACACAGATGATTTTTTCATTCCATAAAGTCAAACTGCACAGAATCCTCTCTCTGGGTCCCCCTCTGCCACTATTTCCCTCCAACTTTCACGATATACCTTAGTTTCCCCCTTTTCATGGTGTAGATTGTTTCCTTCTCTGCGTGCAATCGGTTCTCTTTGCGAGTCAGTTTCTTTCATGACATTTTATTATTTTTGTCCATCTCTTATGTTCTCATCATTCGTCTATGTGTGTCGTACAGTTATTTTTTTAGGGTGAAAAAAGATGGGGGGGGGGGGGGGGGGGTTGTATCTGTATGATTACATGTAGGATATATAGCATCTTTTTAAAAAAAAGGGCGGGGGGGGGGGGGTCATTATTGACTATTACAATTCAAATAGTAGATAGCAAACCAAATAAAGAAGAATCTTGCACTCAACAACAGCATAATTTATACAACAGATCAACATCATGGTACAGGGATTGTAATCCACAAGTGCTCCGTTATACTTCTAACTCAAGTTTGAATCTGAAAAAACTCAGAGCAGTTCATGGATTCTGTAGCACCGGTGAGAATCCTGAAATACTTTGGGTCGAATTTTAACTCCAAATTTTGTCCGGTCAGCACCGTTAGGCTACTCTTTTCGATTTCCAGCTGCCAATGGGCGTCTGATCTTATTACCCAGAGACCCCCTCACCGGGGCCTGAATCCGAGACCTTCAGCACTCGAGGCGGACGCCATGCTTCGAGACAACGCAGTCCGTCAAAATCATTGTTCCAGCAATGAAGAGCCCTATCATCCTGAAAACTAACTCTCAAAACTAGTTCAATATGTATACATCTATTTCCCTCACACGTTTGACAGCACTTATCTTGACTTTCTCGGCAGTACTTTAAAATCTAGCTCTTCCCTTGTGGGATGATATTTTTCGTTATTCGAAGCCCAACCCTGGCTTTGGCCGAGGACGTCCTTTATAGCTGGGCCACAAATGTAGCCATAACGGCTGAAAGGGGTTTCCAGGACCTCTCCACGGGTGATCCTCATCCGCATGGTGGCACTTTGTGTCACCGGGTGTTTATCGCTTGTGTGATGTCTTGGCGGGGTACAACAAGCAAGCAAGCAAGTAAATGCATTCATGCATGCTCCCTTTGTGTGGCATTTTCAAGCACTTAAACGTTTAGAAGTTTGTTTGCTTTCTGAATGGACCATAGGTTCGGGAATCCGAGTATGTTCAGATCCTTCACTCCCCCATATTCACCAATTGTTTTAGGGAGCTTAGTACCCCCCTCCCCTCCCATATATGTTTTTTTTCTTGGGCTTAACCCTCCCCCCCCCCTCGCCCTTTTTTTTTCTACCTTAAGCGAGCCATCTTTTTCAAAGAGTGTGCCAATATTTTCATATTATTCCAAGTGTGTGCTTATATTTATTTGCAAATCAGCATTCAAAAAATGATTATTATTATTGCCGAATTAAAAATGCTTAAGCCCCAAGAGCTCTACCTCACTCTGTTGAAATAAAAGCGAGCTAGGTGGCACCATCCCAACCCCCAATGTTTTCTTTACTGCAGCGCGCCTGGAGTGGACGAGCCCACACCGTTACCAAGCTAAACACAAAACAAGTCTGCTATCAAACGGCAGAAAGCTGAATGTGCCATCTTTTTTCACTTTTTAAAATGACAGTTGGCAAATGGTGTTGCCGCTTACAGATAGGCAACATTCGGCCCAACACACCCAATGTCAGCCTTTTACCACATGCTGGATATGGGCAGTGGATCTATCCGTGCTCACTCATTCTCTCTTCCCCCCCTCCCCCCCACATTTTTTTTACTGCAGTGAAACCACACATAACCCACACAAAGAGCAGAATCTATAATATTTATGTATTTCATTTCCTGTCCCTTATTTTTTCTAGAATGCATACACTAACAAACAAAAACTTAGACGGGCAGAGTATTGCAAACCACTTTTTTTTTTTCTGCTTGTACAGTTTGAACGCATGATAGGCTAGGTTTGTAAAATAAAAATAATTTTTTTTTCAAGTATGCGTTTTCAGGGAATGTTCATAGTGCCCTTCCCAAGGTTCGTTTCTGTTCAACTGTCAGTTCCGGTTTGCGGGAAAATTCCCGTTTTTTATCGTAGTGAATTTGCTGGCCCAAGGCAACAGATAATTTTTTTCCCCCACGCTATGTTTCTTTTTATTTTATTTTCAGTAACATTGGATAGATGTTACAAGTAATTAAATGTGACACATAAACATGTCATTGCAACAGTTTATAAAGGGAACTACTAAAAAATAATGACCGTATGCTATAAATATTTCAGTCTAAATTATCTGTTCAATCACCACCACCATATTATTTTTTTTAATGGTTTGAAAGTTTGGCAGCGTCCGTGGCTAGTGCGTTGCGAATCCGACTCGTAAGCCAGAATACCGCGATCGAAACCCACTGAAAGCTGCGTGGATTTTTGTCGTGGAATGGGACGTCGCAGGTCGACCCAGCCTAAAATGGGTACCAGGATGGGCTGACCACATTACCCACAGAGTGCTGATGGTCTGTAAAAATATGGGACGCTCTGCCCATATGCCCGATGCGCCAAAAAGCGTGAAAAGGGAACTTTTACTTTTTACTTTTTATGAAAATTTGGCAGTTTTCTCCATAAATGTTGGCAGCTCAGGAATGGCTTAATTTCAGAGCTGTTCAACTAGTTGCCTGGCCTACTATTTATTAGTCCAACTAATAGACCACACGACGATTTGAGTCCAGACTCAAGTCTAACAACTAATTCTCGGCCCTAATTTTCAGTCTCAGCTGTCTCCTAATATTTTGTGAATCATAAAACAAAATGATTCTTTTCGGGTTGGGGCTAGTTCCCAAAAGATGGGTGGGTTTCCGCCTGCTTCTGCTCCTGCTTCTACTTCTGCTCCTACTCCTCTTTCTCTCCTTCCTCACCCTTCTTTTTCTCCTTCTCCTTCTTTTTCTTCTTCTTCTTCTTCTTCTTCTTCTTCTTCTTCTTCTTCTTCTTCTTCTTCTTCTTCTTCTTCTTCTTCTTCTTCTTCTTCTTCTTCTTCTTCTTCTTCTTCTTCTTCTAATTCTCAATGGGACAGAGAACGTGTGGGAATGTCCCGAGTGCCATAATGTCAATTCTTTACTGGTAGATTCATTTAAGATTGATTGCTTCATTCATTCATTCATTCATTCATGTTATTGTGTAAAAAAGAAATTACAGATGTGCTGGAGCTAATAAGGTGATTAGTTATTCTTGTCGACAAATTATTTTGTTGTTTTAAATTGACTTCCTCGATTGATAATGTGTAATTATGATTAAAATGTAGAAAAAAATATTTTAAATAAAACTTGTATCAACTAAGCCTTTCTAAGCAAATTACAACAATTAATGCCCTGGGACGATAAAATGTTACTAGCACCATACAATACTCTACTAAACTGTAGAAGTATAAGACGCGTCCCAAGACTTTAAAATTTTACTAGCGCCTTACAATTCTCTACTAAACTATAGAAGTATAATCCGTGCCCCAAGACTATAAAATGTTACTAGCACCATACAATACTCTAATAAACTATAGAAGTATAAGGCGTTATCTATCTGTAGACATTTGATTTAACTGTTATACATACATACACTATATAATAATATGTATATTAATCTGTAGATGTCGAGAGCATGATCGCTTTTACCAGTCTTGGTATAAAACTGTTGCATTTTGAAAATAAATTATTTAATGTCTTGTGTCCATTGCACTAGATGATAAATAACTTTAATCTTTTAAGAACTTCAATTACTATATGCGTTTTAAATAAAAAATTATTTTATGAAAGGTTTATTTTATATATTTTAAAACAAAGCATGTTATTTTGATACATCATGGTGTGTGTGATATTGTAATTGATAACGATAACAATGTGTACAGAAACGAGGCTTTTGGTGATGTCACAGGACGAGTACTCACCTAAGCATTGACTGGTTGCCTCCAGGAGAGATCCAAGAATGCAGTCATCATATGGGTAGAACATCTTAAAGTGTTGACTCTCCTCGAGCCCAGCAAGTTTTCTGAAACCAAAAGAATTATATAATCAGTGTGTAAGATGGTGGATATTATTTTCAACAATGGACGACGCTAACTCCAAACAGTTCATTTCAGGTAGGGCTGTACCGAATATTCGCTTCGTATTCGCTTCGGGGCCGAATAGTGGACCCGATAACTATTCGGTATTTGGCCGAATAGTTGCGGTCGGGCCGAATACGAATAGTGGTTACCTAGCAACCGTTTCTAGACTGGTGGAAAAAATACATCAAGACTTCCCACCTTGGTTTATACTGTGAAGCGTTATCTTTGTGCACCACCTACGAGCGTACCAAGTGCCCCTTTATTTCCATCTTGCATGTGTTGGGAGTATAGTGTTTTTATGTGTGTTGCTGTAGAAACAAAATGCAACACTTAAAAATGTAAGAGGGGCAGAAAAGCAAGTGTTCTAGTGTTGTCGGCTTGATTTCTTTGAGTGGAGTGTCCTCTTCGTTGATTCTTTGAAGTAACGGGAGTTCGTCATCATTTATGGGTGTCGTATCTGTTCTTTCGTCGTCTCGTGGAAACGACAGCGGCTGAATGTTTTGATCGACGTTCGCTTTTATTATTGTCTTTGTTGTTTGATCTTCTGGCGTTAGCCGCCCGGCGTCTGGTTTCGTGAGCTCGCGGGGAGCTGGGCGACTTGTAAGGACGGCATTTTTTCTTCGTCGGCGTTATTTTTGTTTTTGATGTTTCGCCTTGCGGGTTTTCATTTTGACTCTCTGTATTTGTCGTATTTTCCTGTTTAGTACAGCTGGAAATACCTTCAGTGAGACAAAAAGCTGGCCTAATGCTGACAACATGGAACGAAGGTTTTTCATGGAGGTGTGTCAGCACACGAACTAATACGTGCTGCAGGAGATCGCAGATTGTGGCGAGGCATAATCGCCCATGCCAGCCGGCAAAGCACATGATGATGATGATTCACTATTCGTATTCGTATTCGGCTGAATAGTTGGTCCAGCTATTCGTATTCGGCCGAATAGTTAAAATCACTATTCGGTACAGCCCTAATTTCAGGACTTAATTTCAGATACAAGTACCTGATCAGACACAATGACAAGCTATAGCGATCAAGTTGTGTAGAGAAAACAGTTTTCCAAAATACGCAATGTGTTGTAGGGCCAGAAATCGTAATGCACTATTTGCCAAGATACCAGACTTCTTCATAGAAGCCTAAAGTAAAATGTTCTTAAAAAAAGAAACCTACCAGGTGTCGGCGTCTGAGGTTTAGGGTCGGCGTCTGTGGCTTAGGCGCTGGGAATGAGCTTTCTAATGCCGGAGTGCCGGGTTCCATCCCAGCTGCGGGCCTGGAGCCTTGCGTTGGTTTCGACAGTGGTATCGAGAAGCCGACCGTCCAGGAAGCAATAGCAAACTACTGGACGTAAATTTGCCAAGAGAAACCACACAACAGCCAGGAGCTGCTGCGTTTGGTTCTGCAACGTCCTGTAAAGGAACGCAACTAACTTAACCAGGTGTCGAGCCTCACATAAAGTAGATGGAAAGAAGACAGAAAACCAAACCATCAGTGCCACCTACACGATAGGGAGCAGGACTGCAGGAAAGAAGGATACTGTCAATACTGTAAAGAAGAAGAACAACAACAAATATACCAGCCGCAGCAGATGAACAATCGAGGTGCAAAAGATTTGTTTGTTTTGTTTTAGTATCCAGAAGCCATCCAGTTGTTAACCCTTAGACTCGGTATTACGGATATCGCAACCTTTCGGCCTTGATTCCATTGTAAATACCGTAAATCTGGGAGAAATGTGGCTTTCCTGCCTACCCCCGGGATTGAACCCGGACCACAAGGAGTTCGTCACCCGGTCTCCGCGCAATCCGGTTTAGCCAACTACGCTAGAGAGCCGGGCAGTTGCAAGTGATAAAAGATAGTCTAGCGAAGCATGTCAGTCCGATGACCAAAGCCAGCAATCTGATGCACATAATGCATCATGCTGAGTTAACCAGCTGACTACACCGAATTCCCGACAACCATTATGATCCTAACAGTGCTGGCAAACCTGAAGATTATAAAGAACCTCGTGGGTCAGATATTTGTGGCCAAATTAAGAAAAACCAAGGAGTGGTCGATAACCCAACAAAACAATTAAAACAAACAAAAGTTACAGTTGTCGAACGAGATGGTGGTAATCCCTTCCATGTGTCATAATGTCCGATGTTGGGTCGTCAAACGAGGCAATCTAGCTCTAAAAGTCATCAAGGTTGAAAGATTTTGTTCAAGAAACAACCCACTGACGGCGGCTGTGCTGACCACGAAAGACGTTGAAATACTAGAAGGAGTGATGATAGACGTGAGGATACAGAGATCTGGGCAGTACATACCATCTGTATTGTAGTGATCCAAATGTAAGGTCTGGCATTTCAGATCAACTTGTCTCAGTAAACAGGACATTTCTAGGTACTGTGCAGAGCTTCATCCTTTTAGACAATGTTCACTGGCCGAGAAGGATGAGGACTTCCGAAAGCCACATTCAAATAGGAAGTGTGCAAACTGCTCAGGCCCGCATGGGGTCAAATACTTGGGCTGCCCAAGCCTACAACTGTGTAGGAAGATGATGAAATAGCCATCAAGGAAAACTTACCCTGTAGAGAAGCTCAAAGGAGACACGAAGCACCAAAGAGCATTTCATCCCTGGATACGGCACAACTTCATGGCCAAATTTTGAACTTGGAAAGTGAAATAAACACCCTTTGAAAAGACAAAGAGGCAGGGAACATACAACATGCAGCGATGCGCAAGGAGATTCAGGAGATAAGAGAAATCCGGAATACCACGCTAGAAGTTCAAATCAGAAGGAGAAAGATGTAGGTTCAATTAGAGATTTTAAATCAGAAATAGCAGTTCTACTCAGTGACATAAAGAACCGACAAGACCAACGAGAAATATACGACGTTGTGTAAAATAAACCTCTAAAACCGGACAGCACAACGAAAGAAACTCAAACACAAAGCGAAAGGTAAGACCAGTTCATAAAGGCAGAGCAGTTATACAAAATAATACCATGGAAGAAACTTTACATAAATGGCAAGAGGAGCAACGACGACTTGCAGCGTACAAATTATTTCAAGCGGCGATTCTCTAACGAAAGTACAAATAAATGCACCTGGTCCAGAAAAAAACATTCTAAGTGAGAAACAGAATGACGGTCTGGAACATCTCGTATGTCGACACGGACGAAGACGAAATAGCGATAACGTTGATGAAACCAGGTCAAGATCGCAATAGCAAGTGAGGATCTATGACCGAACAACAGCTAAAACCATACAATGAACTGGTACAGAAACATCACCATGAAAAGCTCTGGAAACAGTCCAGTCAATGGCAGTAACATCACCAACGGAAGGTACAACAAGGAACACTTAACCTAATCAGATCCTATCCTGCACAATGAGACGGGCATACCAGAGTTAGACATGTACAGACACAGATACAAAATAAAAAAATAAAAACAATTACAACTGAAATGATCGCTCGCTCGATTGTATCCTCCGGACCGCTACCAAAAGGTTTACAATAACAACCTGAGAATATAAAATCTCAATCTGGAAGCAGACCAACCAGGTAGAACCCAGACACCCCGTTCAACCCCTGAAGAAGTTATAATTAAGACACCTGTAACGGCAACATCAGCCAGATGGAACCTGGTGTCTTGTGTCGGTAAGGACGTGACTGAAATAAGATTCATAAGAAGAGCAGTAAACATTTCAAGAAGAGAGAGTATCGGAAAAGACTGACCGACGTTCCACCCCACCAGGACCTCACAGCGAGCTACCAACATCCGATGACACAAAGTGCCACTATTCGGATGAGAATCACCAGGTACAAGTCCCAGAAACCCCAGTAAACCGTTAGGTTATTTTAGTTCCCACGACTACAGCCGGAGTGGGGCTTAAAAATAACAGACAATTGCGTCCTATATTAAGGAGAGGTTGTGATAATTTCTGTCATCAAATAGGAAATCTGACAATGTTACTTTGGTGTGCCTTGCTCACCAATGCCGGAAAAAATAATTTTGCTCATTACAGCCGATGAACATAATGTGATATCGGAATGGATTGTTCAGAGAATCACCAAGGAAATAATTTACACCAGTAAAATGTGCGTGAAAAAAACACACACAATACCCCCATAAATAAAGTAGTCTGAAAGTTATCTAATAAGTTATCAAACGATAAATCATGTCGAAGAATCAGAGCTCCCGAAACGAGGCCAAATGATGACAAAGGGAGGTAAGACCACCCTGAAATGATCACACCTCATGTATTTTAATTACAGCAAGGGCAGATAACCGAGAACAGAGCGAGCAATAGATCTGCTGAAATGAATCTCCCATTAAAAGAGTGAAAGATACCTTAGTGGTAATGACACTTGCCTCCTGTATTAAAGTTGCCTTTTTGTTGTTGTTGCACGTGAGGGTAATCCACTGTGAATCTATGTTACTAACACACACACACACCCATATATATATATATATATATATATATAACCAGTTCAATGGAGTGAGTACATAGCCGAATGCGATAATACAGACTACTGGGCACACCCATATGCCGAAAGCATTGATTATAGGCTACTGGTGACTCCAGGAGTGGGCCCATATGCCGAAGGTTTTTCTGTGTGTATTGAACTCACGTCTAGTCGAGGCTAGGTAATGCTCTTTGAGGTGATGCCGCTGTGAAATAATGCCAATGTGTTTGGGAGTAGTAGACGGACAGTAGTTCTGTCATCAACATCACATTCGTCGCATTGTGTTCATCAATAAAAAGACTGACGAATTATTATAGCGACGACTTTTAACATGCTGTTTTTGACACTGTTATTAGAGTGATTACTTTGGCTCTATAAACCCACAAGAATTTGCATTGATAAAACACCACAGCTAATGGATCAGATAGTCATAGAGAAACTAAAAGACAAAGATGTGTTTAAAACCTGCATCCTGAATGTAATGACAGAAAAGTGCGG